TCTTTTTGTATTCTATCTGTTTTCTTTTCATTTATTATACAATTAACAAACGCAAAAAAAGGCCTCTAACACTAGCTTGCTCTATTCTTTTTCTATTCTATCTGTTTTCTTTTTATTTATTATATTATTTAAAAAAAAAACCTTGCTATGTGTATTGCGTTAAGCTAACTGAGACTTGTTCAAGTGCCATCTGAAATTTTCATCTAAAATGAGCATTTTTATCAGACTCCTATATTTATGTTCATTTATTTCACTTTAATGGCATAGAAAAGGACCTATACATTGCCATTAAAGTAAAATTACTGAACCTAAACATAGGAGCCTGATAAAAATGCTAATTTTAGAAGAAAATTTCAGCTGGCACTTAGAGGCTTTTGCATCTGAATATATATATAAACGGTGTCCATATACTGATAAACTGTAACACATTTACATGAGTTTAGTATGCAGAGGATCATTATGTATCACCCAACACACTATTATGGGAATCAAATAGAAGCAATAATGATTTATTTGTAATGGCCAAAAAAAAAAAAAAGATTATGAAAGGGGGCTATCTTGCCCCACCTGAGGAAAAACGAATCTGGAAGGATTATGCATCTTGGCAATGTAACTTAAATTTACTGAAATAGAATGTGTCATAATGACAAATAAGTACAGGAGCAGCATTACAGAGAGAGGAATCTGAAAGGCAATCACATTCAATACTTTTTAAACCTGAAAACGTGTCACAATATAGCAACAGTTACAATGCAGTGAGACAGAACTATTCTACTCAATTTTAGGTTGTTATGACTTTTGATTTTACAGTATTGTTCTTAGGCTGTGGAATTATTAAATAACAACAACTTAAATAACAATTCCATTTTTTTTTTATTACACACACACACACACACACACACACACACACATTTACTTGGTTTTTTAAATGTGTACATTCCATTGACTTCTTCTGTTGTTATACCGAGATAATTATAAATACTATAACCCTAACCCTCACAGAAAATTTTCTGTATTTTTAGAGTTTTATTTTGTTCCTGGATGTCCCCAAACTGTTTATATATAATTTTTAAATGTAATAAATATAAAATATTTAAATATATTTAAATGTAAATGTATACACTGTATACACATACCCATGTACACAAAATTGTTTTATTGCTGAATCTATATCAGAACATCAGTGCATTGACTGTTGTGTAATTATGTAACAGACTCTCTCTGGGTTTGGGTGGACACACAACTATAAGCCCATTTTTAGTTTGTAAAACTAACCCAGAGTTTTTCTGGAGCTGTGAAGGAAACTCCTCCTCTAACCAAGCCTGCATTCCTTCCTGGACCGTTTTCCCCAAACGTGGGAGTCTAGAGAGAGAGAGAGAGAGAGAGAGTGAGTGTGTGTGTGTGTGTGTGTGTGTGTGGAGGAGATGAGAGGAGACCAGCTGAAGACACGGAGGAACAACACAGCACTTCAGACCAAAGAAGATCTGTTGATACGACTACATAAGGTAAGCTTGATTTTTACTTCTTCAACAACAGAAAGCATTTCTAAAGTAATAGTTTATGCGCCATTGAAAAACCTTTAAAGTGCCATAGTTCTTCAGAAAGCTACTGTACGGATGTACTGGCGCATAAAGAACCCAAGGTCTTCACTTTTACATTATTAATGCATGAGACTATAACAACATGCTCATACAGAACCTAAAAGTCACATCAAGAACCTTGAAAAAAAAAGAAAACTATAAAATAGTTAATATGCAAAAAGCACTGAACCTACGTATGAAGAACGTTTATTATTATTAAGAATCAAACTATGCTCTCTGAGATATTCTTGTTTGTTGGTTTTGTACAGTACAAACTTTACAGTAGAAGTACAAATATGCTGCAACCAAACAGACTAGAAGATTATGGATCTCTCAGAACTGTCCAAAATGTCTTAATTAATTTCATGTGATAGTCCGTTCTACATTGCTGTAAGATCTGTGTACTTTTAGGAGCAGTAATTACAGCTCATCTGTGTTTACAGTGTAAAGAGCATCTTGGTAAAGTCTTGAATGGCACTAAAGAGAAATAACTATCCGAGTCGGTGCCAGGAACGCATAACGAGCAGCTCCTGCATGTAAACATGGAGAGGTGGGGGTCGATTTAATGAAAACCAGAGTTGAGGAATGTTGACTAAATACATAATCTTAAGGCCACCACAAAGGGCCTCTTGGTCTCTGGTTTGGAAAGAGATCCTCGCATGCACCGTGAGTTATTTTCTCTGCTCTGTCGTGACAGAGGGGGGGCTGCAATCTTGGGATCTGCTTGTGTCATTCCCAATCTTCCTTCCCTATCCAGATCCATCACACAGTCTATATTTATGAATGGACGTTTAGTTTGTTCAACCAGAAGTCTCTGTTCATCTTTTGGATGGAAAAGTCATGGAAGGTTTGTGGTATAGCCACGTTGTGCATCTCGGAAAAGTGACGATGGAAAAGCGACTGGCAGTGAGGTGAAAACTCATTTATAGGTATGATGCCAGTGAAGTATTATTACAGCGCTTGAATCAAGGTTCACACGCAAGTCCTACATTTTTCCCTGGAGAAGTCGCCACAAGCAAATGGCATCATTTTGATTAACATGGCATCATATACATTACCGTTCAAAAGTTTGGAATCATAATTGGATTAATAATTTTATTTAACAAGGATGCGTTAAGTGACAGTAAAGACGCTTAAAATATTCCAAAAGATTTCTATTTCAAATAAATGCTGTTCCTTCAGAGAATCCTAAAAAAACTAAATGTAGTACGGTTTCCACAAGAATAGGAAGCAGCACAACTGTTTTCAACATTGATGATAGTAATAAGAAATGTTTATTAAGCAGCAAATCGGCATATTATTATGATTTCTGAAGGGTCATGTGACACTGAAGACTGGAGTAATGATGCTGAAAATTCAGCTTTGCATCACAGGAATAAATTGCATTTGAAAATATATTCACATAGAAAACTGTTATTTGAAATTGTAATAATATTTTCTGTTTTTACTGTATTTTTGATCAAATAAATGCAGCCCTAAAGACTTAACTTACCAAATGAACGGTAGTATGAATGGGATGCATATAGAAACAGGAGATCTGTTTCATTCTGTTTAATTTCATTGAAATCTGGAGATCAGACACAAACTACTGCTGTTTACACAGAGCTCCTTAATGACGGCCACATCAGAGGCTTTTCAGACACACTGATTAAATCCCAAATGATTCCTCGGTTTTTCTGTGAGATTCAATTTCTCAACCGGAACCTTTTATTCTGCAGGATCCACCAAAATGGCATTACTGTTGATGTTTGTGACTGTTCTGCATTTGGTCACCCTAGCCATGCTTTTCATTGCCACCATGGAGAAGGTTAGTCGTAATGCACAAACCCATACCTTACCCATAGTTACTACAATAAAGAAACATCTGCCTAATGAATGAGCAAATGCATAGAGTTCTGAGGTCATGCATGTTTATCTATCAAAATACATTCAGAATTGTAGGTTTAATTCTTGCACTAAATATTTGAATGTATATATCAGGTAAAGATGAAACATTTTTACTTGCATTTTTTCCCCTATGGTATTTAAAAAAAAATCTTTTATTATACACTTTTGTTTGATTATACACTTCTGTTATTGTGTTTTATTGCTGTTTTTACACTTTCTCTTGCATTTTTTTTGTACTGACCTGAAGCTTCTTT